GTTAAATTGTAGTGAATAAGAATTTAAATGTGACGTTAATGTTAAATTGCAATGAATAAGAACTTCAATGTGAAATTAATGTTAAATTGCAATGAATAAGAATTTAAACGTGAAATTACCATTAAATTGCAACGAATAAGAATTTAAATGTGAAATTACCGTTAAATTGCAATGAATAAGAATTTAAACGTGAAATTAACGTTAAATTGCAATGAATAAGAATTTAAATGTGAAATTATTGTTAAATTCCAATGAATAAGAATTTAAATGTGAAATTAATGTTAAATTGCAATGGATAAGAATTTAAATGTAAAGTTAACGCTAAATTGCAATGAATAATGACATAAACGTTAAATTGCAATGAATAAATTTATCTCAGATCGCACCTAGGATAAGATAAACTAATTCCAAAAAAATCTCTGAAAACTATACGTTCGCAATTCAATTAATTGTAATTAATTAGATGCAGCTTCATCCAAACGAAAGCTTCGCTCGTTCGTTAAATAAACAGTCGCGGAGTAACAAATAAGAACAATAAAAGAAGTTGAAAATCGTGAGAAAACATATGGTTTTGTTTATGCCCATTGGAGTCATAGCGAGAGTGAGAACGATCGAAGAGACAGCGGAGAACTAGCATTATCTAGACGCTGCTGTGTCCTTCGACAACGTCACCAACACTGTCGAGTAACCTTTATAACATCAGGGTTGCAACGAAGAAAAGATACTTCGCACGAGGACGCTTAAGCACTCTAGGCTAGACTTTCTCAGAAAAAGAAAATAAAGTACTACGATCCTCTCCAAGGATGATGATCGATAGCAGAGGATTGATCGGTCATGGAGTCCGGCACTATGTATGCGGTTGTGTCGCATTTGCTGACAATGAGTTATGCGTATAGCATAACTGGAGCATACGGCACTGTTGATTACGGATTGAAGTTTTTTTTTAGAGTGGGAGTAGAGTGTAGCAAATGTTGCATCGATTGCTGTGAACTTTCTCGATGAAAACGTAGTATGATCTTTCCGTTCCAGAATTATAAGCGGCTGCTTCTTATGCTCTATTCGCGGAATGTTCCAGTTATGTTTAGTCCGCTCGAATTTGCTATTTTAAGTTCTACATTTGACGCCACGTTCTACATTCGATTCTACCATCGTTCACACTTCACTCGAAGTTGTGCAGTTTATTATATGTTGCATGTTTAATTTGCAATTGTACGTTCATTTTGAAGCTGCACATTTAATTTCAGGTTACAGGGCTCGATTCTAAGTTGTACGTTCAATTTCTAATTGTACATTCAATTTGTTATTGTACGTTTAATTTGTGATTGTACATTCAATTTTAAATTGTACGTTTAATTTGTAATTGTACATTCAATTTTAAATTGTACATTTAATTTGTAATTGTACATTCAATATTAAATTGCACATTTAATTTGTAATTGCACATTTAATTTTAAATTGTATATTCAATTTTAAATTATACATTTAATTTGTAATTGTACATTCAATATTAAATTGTACATTTAAGTTGTAATAGTACATTCAATTTTAAATTATACACGTGTAACTTGAACTTATACATTTAATTTTTAATTATACATTTAATTTGTACTATGAACATTTCATATTATATTGCATATTTAATTTCAAATTGTTCATTCGGTGTTAAATTACATATTTAATTTGGAGATGTATAGTCCTCGCGCGACAAGAAGGCACACCTTCGTGTTTACATATTCCCCCTCTTACTAGCTGCCCTGTTGCCGCAGCCATCGGTCGCTATTGGTCAACGGTGATCTTCGTCACAGTTTTCAGTCAATAGCGGCCGATAGCTGCGGCAGTGGGGCAGCTATTAAGAAGGGGAATGTAAACGCAGAGCTGCGTTCTTGTCGCGAGAAGACTATACATGTAATTCGACGTTGTACACTCAATTTTAATTTGCACATGTGATTCGTAGTTGCATTTTCACTTTCGAATTGCATGTTTCACTCGAAGTTGTCGATTCAATTCGAAATTTGTCAATTATATTTTGAACGCAATTAAAGATCTGGAAAATAAACTACTGTTTTATTGCTTTTAAAAAATCTCTTTTTCCGGAAGAAAAGCGAGCACATCTCTCCAATTATTAATTTACTCGGCAGCTTTCCTCGCTGATGAAAGTTATGCAGCGTCGAATGGATAACATTGAAGGGGTTTTAATTATTTATAATTACTAAGTACGATGCAAAAGAAGACTCTTAACACAAATGGAACAATTTAACATCGCATTTAGGCGAGTCCATTCTCAAGACAATTGTACTCAAGAAGATCCTACCAATTTCCGAAAGAAAGTTTCATTAACTTTTAATTGAGATAATTAATTTATCCTATCCAATTGAAATCATTATCGCTATTAAAAATTCACAAACTAAATGATCATTTTGGATTTTCGAGAATCGTCATTCGTGGCTCTTTGTTAGCACGAACGATGGAGCTGTGGAATTGATCAACTCAGCTCTGGCGGAGAGCTTTGAGCGTTATCGGCGACAATTAATCAGATTAAACGATGCTATAGAGGAGAAACGAGAACCGTGCGTAACCTCATGCAATCGCATCGGTTGCAAGAAACACGAGTCGCGAAATTGCTGTCAGAAATTAAGTGTAATAATATTCTCGAACTATTTCAATTTTCGTCATTAAATTTCATCCCTTTAAATTTCCATTTTCACGTCTGGACAAATTGAGAACGCTACGCGACAACTGTGCTATCAAACTAATCAGTCTCCTTCGTTGCAACAACAATCGGAACGCACTTTGCACAGGCGTAGTCTAATTAAGCGATATTCGATTCGATGAATAATTAACACCGTGCTCCCGGAACACGTGCACGCGTCCTTCGTCCTTCCCCGAGGCTGCGATTGGACAGCAAGGAAGCGGAAAGTTTATTTAAACGAGGGAATAGTCAGTGACTTCGAGTTAACTATGAAAGAACTTTTTAATGGCCGCGAAGAATGTTACTGCCGGTATGAGTCATGTTACGAACAAATCAATATTGCATGTAACTTGACGAAGCTTGTCGTCGATGCCCGTCGCTGTAATAAATTTTCTTCTGAGAAACGGTGTGACGCCGTTGCTGCATCGTCCAATCAAATTTCGTAGCGTGCGATCGGATTTTTTCTATATATTATATATATATTATATTTTCATTTTTATATATTTTATATATATTATATTTTTATTTTTATATACTTTATAAATCATATTTTTATTTTTATATACTTTATATATCATATTCTTATTTTTGTATATTTTATAAATCATATTTTTATTTTCATATATTTAATATATTATATTTTTATTTTTATATATTTTATATGTTATGTTTTTATTTTTATATATTTTATATATCATATTTTCACTTTTATATATTTTATATATTATATCGGATTATTATTGTACGTTATAATTATACGTTTGGTAATAACTATACCTACTATATATTTTTATGAAAATACACATTTTGATATGCAATTTTATGAAAACTGAGACGAGAAAAAAATTTCTTTTGGTCGCTGAAAGATTGCTTGCGATGAAAATGAAGCGAAAATGTTTTTAATTAATTTTTATCGCTGTACGTGGTTCCTCGTATTTTAAACGTTTCCACACGCCATAAGTGACAATTTGTGTACGATAAATTAAAGATGTATCTTGACAACAGAAAATAATGATATATCCTGACCTTTGTTAGCGACATTGTTATGCGCGTAATTGTGGTTGTAACTTCAGGAATAGGATGTATATATAGTCCTGGTGTCGTCGATACGATGGCAATCGTCCTCGAAGGGTTGATGGTTTACGATCTTTCTAATAGTCGTTCGGTGCTAGTGAATTTTTTGTTCTGGATCGCGAGCCAAGGAATTTTGCACATGAATCAATTTCGCGAATTTGTAAATTCTGAATTTTCGATTGCAAATTTGAGAATGTTGAACTTCGGATTGCGAACCAGTGAATTTTGAATTTCAGATTGTAAACTATTTTGAATTTTCGATTGCAAATTAACAAATATTGAATTTAAGATTGTAAATTAGTGAATTTTGTATTTAAGACTGCGAATTATTGAATTTTTGTAGATCTTATGTTTGACAGAATAGAATGAGCAAAATAGGAAAGAAGAAACACATTTTTATTGAAATTCCATTCTGCACAATTTTTGATGAGATTCGAATAAAATATGCACAGAGATATATATAATTTAAACAAATCAGATACGTATCCATGGTTTGATCGATGCTGTAATATAGCTCTGCGTTGCAGCATACACATAATGCATCGGTACATCGTTATCATATTAAACTTCGTAACATACGTACAAGTTAAAACAGTTGTCGTTGTTCCCTTGTCCAAGGCTGTTACGTTTATGCGAATATTGTGTGGTGGTGGTGGTGGTGGTATATATATATATATATATAATCGTGAACAAATTATCCAGCAGTGCGATCCAATAATACTACAATATAAACTTTTGTGCAATTATTCGTTTGCAGAAAGAAAACGTGCAGATTTTATGCAACATAAAAATGTAGCAATTCAATTGTAAGAAACTGAAGTTACTGAAAACTTGTTTTTCATCTTCCAATAAATTTAATTATCCGAAAATAACGTGGTAATATTTTTGAATTCTTTTAGTGACTTCATAATTTACCAGATGAAAAATAAAAGTAAATTTTAATAAATAAAAATCTTGTCCATCAAATTAAGTTCTCAGCAATCGGTTTAAATTGTTCACTTTCGTTATAAATTAATGAATCGACGATCTGTTCATCAAGCATTTAAGAATAAAATTATTAAAATAAAATTAAGATAGAATTAAAATAGAATTGAAATTAAAAATAAAATTAAAATCAGAATAAAATTAATAAACGTTGATGAATCTTGTCGATTCGATTCCAAGTTTTATTCGAAGTAAGAAGTAGGTTAAAAAGTCTATTGATTTCGATTATAACGTGATCAATTATGTTCCGCAGATCAACAAGATGGATCGCAAGTGTTCGAGGAGGCCGATGCTCGAAATACAGGAAAATGGCGTGGGGAGGCAGGCCTTTTGGCGACCCCTCCGAACGGTTATTTTCCGCAACAAAACGTTGGTCCGATCAAATTTGAAGTACCTCAAGTGCCTGTCATATTCGTTCTTGGTTCGTACGATTTTCAAATATTTTATTCGACGAACTTTCATTTTCTAAACACGCGATAATCTAAGCAATGAAACTTTCGACTTCAAGAATTTTTTTGGTTGCAACTACCGAAGTTGGGCAGACGGCTCTTGCGTACGATGATTCTGCAGACATTGTTGAATATATCAATATATTTTTTACAATGTCATAAACGTTCGACCGTCGATAAATAATATTTTATGCAGAGCGTGACTTTGTATTTTAGAAAAATACACTATAAAATTGTATTGCGATGTTTAATGTATACAGTTGAATTTTTGAACGTTTGTCGTTAATTTTGATGACGATTTCAGGTGGTCCCGGAAGTGGAAAGGTGACACATTGTGATAACTTAATGCAGGAGAAGAAGGGCATCACGCACATTAATATGATGGACCTTCTTCAACAGTACGCTTTAGGAAATGGTGAGCAATAACTAATGAGGACGATTAAAACAAATATATCCTCAATGTAGTTGGTAGTTAAAATCGTATTACGGTCCTAAGAAATTATGTGTATAGATATTAAATTACGTTAATTATGGCAATAAATGACATGGCGATAATAATATTAAAGTTACATCACTAATTAAGTAGAAACTAGCAAAGTAGATTTATATATAAGTGGAGGCTAGTGACATGACGATAATAATATTAAAGTTACATCACTAATTAAATAGAAACTAGCAAAGTAGATTTATATATAAGTGGAGGCTAGTGACATGACGATAATAATATTAAAGTTACATCAATAATTAAATAGAAACTAGCAAAGTAGATTTATATATAAGTGGAGGCTAGTGACATGACGATAATAATATTAAAGTTACATCACTAATTAAATAGAAACTAGCAAAGTAGATTTATATATAAGTGGAGGCTAGTGACATGACGATAATAATATTAAAGTTACATCAATAATTAAATAGAAACTAGCAAAGTAGATTTATATATAAGTGGAGGCTAGTGACATGACGATAATAATATTAAAGTTACATCAATAATTAAATAGAAACTAGCAAAGTAGATTTATATATAAGTGGAGGCTAGTGACATGACGATAATAATATTAAAGTTACATCAATAATTAAATAGAAACTAGCAAAGTAGATTTATATATAAGTGGAGGCTAGTGACATGACGATAATAATATTAAAGTTACATCAATAATTAAATAGAAACTAGCAAAGTAGATTTATATATAAGTGGAGGCTAGTGACATGACGATAATAATATTAAAGTTACATCAATAATTAAATAGAAACTAGCAAAGTAGATTTATATATAAGTGGAGGCTAGTGACATGACGATAATAATATTAAAGTTACATCAATAATTAAATAGAAACTAGCAAAGTAGATTTATATATAAGTGGAGGCTAGTGACATGACGATAATAATATTAAAGTTACATCAATAATTAAATAGAAACTAGCAAAGTAGATTTATATATAAGTGGAGGCTAGTGACATGACGATAATAATATTAAAGTTACATCAATAATTAAATAGAAACTAGCAAAGTAGATTTATATATAAGTGGAGGCTAGTGACATGACGATAATAATATTAAAGTTACATCAATAATTAAATAGAAACTAGCAAAGTAGATTTATATATAAGTGGAGGCTAGTGACATGACGATAATAATATTAAAGTTACATCAATAATTAAATAGAAACTAGCAAAGTAGATTTATATATAAGTGGAGGCTAGTGACATGACGATAATAATATTAAAGTTACATCAATAATTAAATAGAAACTAGCAAAGTAGATTTATATATAAGTGGAGGCTAGTGACATGACGATAATAATATTAAAGTTACATCAATAATTAAATAGAAACTAGCAAAGTAGATTTATATATAAGTGGAGGCTAGTGACATGACGATAATAATATTAAAGTTACATCAATAATTAAATAGAAACTAGCAAAGTAGATTTATATATAAGTGGAGGCTAGTGACATGACGATAATAATATTAAAGTTACATCAATAATTAAATAGAAACTAGCAAAGTAGATTTATATATAAGTGGAGGCTAGTGACATGACGATAATAATATTAAAGTTACATCAATAATTAAATAGAAACTAGCAAAGTAGATTTATATATAAGTGGAGGCTAGTGACATGACGATAATAATATTAAAGTTACATCAATAATTAAATAGAAACTAGCAAAGTAGATTTATATATAAGTGGAGGCTAGTGACATGACGATAATAATATTAAAGTTACATCAATAATTAAATAGAAACTAGCAAANAAAGCTAGCAAAATTAATTGAACAATTCAATGGAAGCTGGGAAAATTAATTGAACAATTCAATGGAAGCTAGTAGAATTATTTAACAATTAACTGGAAGCTAATAGAATTAACTTAACAGTTTAATGAAAGCTAGCAAAATTAATTGAACAATTCAATGGAAGCTGGGAAAATTAATTGAACAATTCAATGGAAGCTAGTAGAATTATTTAACAATTAACTGGAAGCTAATAGAATTAACTTAACAGTTTATATAATGTGAAAGCTAGCAAAATTAATTGAACAATTCAATGGAAGCTAGTAAAATTAATTGAACAATTCAATGGAAGCTAGTACAATTGATATAACAACGTAAAAATTCAAGCCAGTTCAGGTTCCCCCACCACATTATTTCCAAGTATGAAAACGAAATGATTTACATTCATGTAATGCTAGTTACAATTTTGTTTTCTCGATTACAGATATGCAAGATTTCGGGCAGCTTAGTAGTAAAACAGTCGCCGAGGTCCTCATGCTCGAAATCAAGATGTCACCAGGGGCCAAAGTTTTTCTCGTCAGCGGTTACCCGCGAAATATGCGCGACGTAGTCGAATACGCCGAAAAAGTGAGCTTATCGTGATTATGAAACTGTTCGATTAACATAGTACTTTTCGGTTTTATTAACAAATACATAATTCCCCCTATAAGAAAGGAACCCCAAGTCGAACATGCTTTATATTTGTAACAAATAAAAGGAAATTAAAAAGAAATTGTATGAATTCTAAATAAACGAGAAGTCATAAATGTAGTTTATGCTTGCAGTTAATTTGCATAATAAAAGTGGACAAAATTGTATAGATCCCAAGTCGTAAATGAAACACAAGTTTGCACAAGTAATGAAAAAGAATTTTATAGACTGTAAACGTTGATTCAAATTCCGTACAAAGTAATGAACAATCGGCAATTTCGTATATGTTTTCAGATAAAAATTGTGAACGGCGTGATCCTCGTTTCTTGGAGGCAAGAGATCCTCGAAAGGCAAATCGATTTTGGCGCTCAACTCGGCCAAGTGGTCATCGAGCTCGCCAGAATGGAACTTTATAATTTTTATAGAAACGTGATGCCTGTCGCGGAGTATTTTGATCAAAGCGGAATGTTGCTAGAGGTAATTAAAATTAAATTAAATCATCGTGTCTCTATCTAAAAATGTTCGACAATGCGTTGCTTAATTGTCGTTATTATCTTCTAGGTGAACGGAGAAAGAAATCCAAACGACGTTTACGTCGACTTTCGCGAAGCAGTTTTCAAAATTCTCGGCCTGTCGACCGAAGACGTGAAGGATAAAAATGTTCCTCCATCTTTAGAGGCGGAGGTACGTTTGTTCAGACCTTCTTGTTCACCTTCGTGCGTTATCGTTAACATTAATATTACATCGAAAGTTACTCCACGTTTTACTTCGAACGTCACCTGTTATTCATTTTTATTTCGCGATAAACAATTTATTAAATGTACCAATAAGTAATCCGTCTTCTCTTCGTTGCATGCTTTTTCCGTTTCTATTTCCATTCTCACGTGTCTGCCGAATTTCGACAAGTATTTTAATACTTTTCCAATGCTTATATTATTATGTGCATAAATTATTTCAATGCGCGAGCAAAGATAATACCGTCCACAGGGTGACCCAAAAGTCACTCGCAGTCGCGAATAAGTGGTTCCTGAGGTGTTTCGAAGTAATTTTTGCTTCAGCGAAAATGCAGTCCGCGGCTTCGTTTGCGAGTTATCAACGAAAAACAGCGACCAATGAGAGGCGAGATCGCGTTTTCGCTAAAGAAAAAGTTCCTTCAAATCGTCTAAAGAATCTCTCGCTTCCCAATTTCGAGTGACTTTTGGGATACGCTGTATATTAAATTTTACGATACTTTATTTTACTTTATTATGCTAGTTATGTTTATTAATAGCGCACGAAAGTTTTGTTGATTTCTTGCTCGATGGATATGATGCATGACGTTGGAAAAGCGATTGTTGTACGATTAGCATAGACTTTTTGGACGACTTTCCAGCATTTTACGCAGTTCTGGAAGATCGTTTACCTATTGGTACAGTTAATAGCAGCAATAATTCGCGGACTTACGGGCATAATTCCAGGTAGAAGTAGAAAGGAGGAAAGAATCCGTGTCGAAGTCGCCGCCGCCGAAGAAAGAGGATCCGGCGACGGAGATACCGCTGCCGCCGGCTGTGATAAACGAGAAACCTGCGAAAACCGCTAGTAAACCTAGAAAAGGGTTGCCTTCGTTTATCTGGGTTATAGGTAACAAATGAAATACTGAGTTGTTCAAGACAATTTATACAAGATTTATTGAATTTACGTTTACTGCGCCAGGTGGTCCGGGAAGCAACAAAGACAACCTGTGCACCCAAGCTGTCCGCAACATGCCAGGCTGGGTGCACATCAGCGTAGGATCTCTGCTGAGGACGATGACGTCCTCGAACACCATCGTGAAGGATGCGGTCGTGTCCGGCGAGCTGGTCCCGCAGGACATAGTGATGCAAGTTCTCGAGCAACAGATTATCTTAAATCGCGACACGGACGGCGTGATTATAGACGGTTATCCGAGGGACTTGGATCAAGTCGAAGAATTCCAGAACAAGGTGACGAATAATAAGCAAAGCTTTTTTGTTGTTACGTTATTGTTGTGTTTTGTAATTGTTGTGCAAAAGTCTCTTTCTGGAAATCTCCTTGTAAAAATCCTTTCGTAAAATTTCTTTGCAAACAATCTCTTTGTAGCAATTTATTGGTGCAAATCTCTTCGCAAACATCTCTTTCCATTAAGTTGAGTCATTATGAGTCACCGGGACAAACAGGTTTTTAGTTTCGCTAGAAAGATAAGGGTTCAAAATAAATGAAATAAAAAAGAAGAAACAAAAATGAAATAAATGTCTGATAAAACAACGGAATTTATTTATGACTCGACCTAATGAAAATTTCTACGTAAAAGTCTTCTAATAAAATATTAATACACTTTTTGGAATGACTGTGACTTAAGTGTGATTATTAAAATTATTAGTTTGGCCAACATCCACCCCTGGTGCTGCTGGACTGCTCGAAATTGCAACTCGGCAGAGGGCGGCTGGACGATAGTGTTTCAGCGTTTAAGAAAAAATTGGACCTCTTCCGGGAAATGTCGTTGCCTATGCTGAAGACATTTGACAGCGAGAATCGTCTGACGATTGTTAGTGCACCTATAAGTGTCAATACTTACTGTTTCAAATAAGTCCGGGTTTATTGTTGCACAACTTTTTTTTCTAACTAACTGCGATCCAAGAAAATGATATACCTTGTATTAGATAGTATTAGAGTATTATAGCATGTATTTTAGACAGTATTATATTAGTTAGTATATTAGATAGTATTACAGTATTATGGTTTATATTAGACAGTATTAGAGTATTATAGCTTATGTTAGACAGTATTAAAGGATTATAGCTTATATTAGACAGTATTAGAATATTATAGCTTATATTAGACAGTATTAGAATATTATAGCTTATGTTAGACAGTATTAGAGTATTATAGCTTATATTAGACAATATTGGAGTATTATGGCTTATATTATATAGTATTGGAGTATTTTGGCTTATATTAGATAGTATTGGAGTATTATGGCTTATATTAAACAGTATTAAAGGATTATGGCTTATATTAAACAGTATTAAAGGATTATGGCTTATATTAAACAGTATTAAAGGATTATAGCTTATATTAGACAGTATTAGAATATTATAGCTTATGTTAGACAGTATTAGAGTATTATAGCTTATATTAGACAATATTGGAGTATTATGGCTTATATTATATAGTATTGGAGTATTTTGGCTTATATTAGATAGTATTGGAGTATTATGGCTTATATTAAACAGTATTAAAGGATTATGGCTTATATTAAACAGTATTAAAGGATTATGGCTTATATTAAACAGTATTAAAGGATTATAGCTTATATTAGACAGTATTAGAATATTATAGCTTATATTAGACAGTATTAGAATATTATAGCTTATNTATTATGGCTTATATTAGACAGTATTAGAGTATTATGGCTTATATTAGACAGTATTAGAGTATTATGGCTTATATTAGACAGTATTAGAGTATTATGGCTTATATTAGACAGTATTAGAGTATTATGGCTTATATTAGACAGTATTAGAGTATTATGGCTTATATTAGACAGTATTAGAGTATTATGGCTTATATTAGACAGTATTAGAGTATTATGGCTTATATTAGACAGTATTAGAGTATTATGGCTTATATTAGACAGTATTAGAGTATTATGGCTTATATTAGACAGTATTAGAGTATTATGGCTTATATTAGACAGTATTAGAGTATTATGGCTTATATTAGACAGTATTAGAGTATTATGGCTTATATTAGACAGTATTAGAGTATTATGGCTTATATTAGACAGTATTAGAGTATTATGGCTTATATTAGACAGTATTAGAGTATTATGGCTTATATTAGACAGTATTAGAGTATTATGGCTTATATTAGACAGTATTAGAGTATTATGGCTTATATTAGACAGTATTAGAGTATTATGGCTTATATTAGACAGTATTAGAGTATTATGGCTTATATTAGACAGTATTAGAGTATTATGGCTTATATTAGACAGTATTAGAGTATTATGGCTTATATTAGACAGTATTAGAGTATTATGGCTTATATTAGACAGTATTAGAGTATTATGGCTTATATTAGACAGTATTAGAGTATTATGGCTTATATTAGACAGTATTAGAGTATTATGGCTTATATTAGACAGTATTAGAGTATTATGGCTTATATTAGACAGTATTAGAGTATTATGGCTTATATTAGACAGTATTAGAGTATTATGGCTTATATTAGACAGTATTAGAGTATTATGGCTTATATTAGACAGTATTAGAGTATTATGGCTTATATTAGACAGTATTAGAGTATTATGGCTTATATTAGACAGTATTAGAGTATTATGGCTTATATTAGACAGTATTAGAGTATTATGGCTTATATTAGACAGTATTAGAGTATTATGGCTTATATTAGACAGTATTAGAGTATTATGGCTTATATTAGACAGTATTAGAGTATTATGGCTTATATTAGACAGTATTAGAGTATTATGGCTTATATTAGACAGTATTAGAGTATTATGGCTTATATTAGACAGTATTAGAGTATTATGGCTTATATTAGACAGTATTAGAGTATTATGGCTTATATTAGACAGTATTAGAGTATTATGGCTTATATTAGACAGTATTAGAGTATTATGGCTTATATTAGACAGTATTAGAGTATTATGGCTTATATTAGACAGGATTCAAATATTATTACGGTATCTGAATATTACGGCTTCTATTGCATTATTAGAATTTTTTAATACGAAAATACAGGATTCTGTATTTTATGCATTCATAGCAACTACGATCTCTTTCGTTTCTCTCTATCCATTTCGAAAGAGAATTACCATCCTTGGATATTCGACAGCAGATGTTTCTAAAAACGGAAGTTTTGAATGCATGTCCGTTTCGAGCCGATTATAGTCTCTACAACGTTCTTTTTATAGCTCTACGCGTAATTATATATGTTATGAATACCCGAAAGGATAATCCGTTGCTGTAGAAAGTTCAAGGCCGTGGAATTATAGCTCCACGTTGTTCCGTTTGCCACTGCTGTAACTCGACAAACATTATTTTCCAATTGTTGATGGAATGCTAACAAATAGATTCGGAAACGCGTCGGATGCGTTTAAACGATTCTGGATTCGTTGCGATAAACGCGAGCGAATCGAATACCCGAATTCTTCGCGCGACTACGCAACGCGTATTTACAATTTAAATAGCCAATGGACCTTACTTTTTACGCACGACGAGTATACTCGTCATGACACAAAGTTATGTCACCTCTCCACGACGAGTATACTCGTTAAACGCAGCTAACTGGTTAAAATAATAGTTATTTAATACTATTTAGTTATACTATATATATATTATATATATTAATATATTATATATATTAATTATACTATATATTATATATAATTATACTATAATATATTATATATATTAATTATACTATACTGTCATAATATTAATACTATTTAATACTAGTTATTTAATATTTAATAATAATAAATTATAATAATAGTTATTTGAATTTATATAATTATATAAATTTATATATATTTATATTCAATATTATATATTTGATATATATATATATATAATATTAAATTAATATATAATATCAAATTAAATATATATGTAAATACCGATAAAAATTGACGCGTTGAAAATGCAGATCGACGGCGACACAGACGTGCCAAGCGTGCAACAAGAATTTGCGGCTGCACTTTATCAAATGATGACCCAAGCGCGACGCAAAGGAGGGGGCGCGCCTCGGCCGCAGTTGTCGAACGGCGACGACAACGAGGCGAACGGGGATCCCGTGATTAAGAACAATAGGGACCAAACGATCATTCCAAACGGTATCCTCAAAGAAGCGAGCAACGTACTTCCAGCGATCGAGAACGTGAAGAACGCTAGGAAAAACGTGAACGGTCTCTCACTGGCGGGTAAATAATTTCTTAAAGGGGACGGGAGTGGGGGGACCAACAATTGGTTTCGAACGGTTTGGTAATCAACGATTTTCATGATTTCAGGAGCCGTGCAAATCACGAACGGATTGAGGCACAGCCTGCGGCAGGTTAAGAAGGACGGAGCTGCTCGAGCACAAAACGGAATCGCGAACGGTGCCGCGCACATGCTGCAGAACGGAGTCGCGCATTTAGCGAACGGGATACCTGGTAACAACAAAGTGGCGCCGGCCGTTCAGAATTATCTACCCAACGAGACCAAGGATACCGTGAGGAAAATGTACAACGAGGTCGAGGGTTACCAGCAGAATCTGCATATGTAGACCTTCGACTAGAACAAAAAGAAAGAAGAACATAGCAGATAAGAGACTTAAATGTAACAGTGTGGACGAGCCACAGAATAGATCTGACATTCGATGGAAGTTTGATCAAACTTAAAGAAATTGTTCCGTTGCAACAGCGTATCAGGTTGAGTCATTCAGCTCTTTTTTATCAGACATTTATTTTGTTTTGTTTTTCAGTTATATTCTTTTGTTTTTTGACTGGATTTATTTTGACTGAATATTGACTCGATGAATACTTAAATATTGACTAGATATAATACTATTATATATACTATAATATATATATATATACTTGCTTTTTTTCATTTATATTCTTTTGTTTTTTGACTGGATTTATTTTGACTGAATATTGACTCGATGAATACTTAAATATTGACTAGATATAATACTATTATATATACTATAATATATATATATATACTTGCTTTTTTTCATTTATATTCTTTTGTTTTTTGACTGGATTTATTTTGACTGAATATTGACTCGATGAATACTTAAATATTGACTAGATATAATACTATTATATATACTATAATATATATATATATACTTGCTTTTTTTCATTTATATTCTTTTGTTTTTTGACTGGATTTATTTTGACTGAATATTGACTCGATGAATACTTAAATATTGACTAGATATAATACTATTATATATACTATAATATATATATATATACTTGCTTTTTTTCATTTATATTCTTTTGTTTTTTGACTGGATTTATTTTGACTGAATATTGACTCGATGAATACTTAAATATTGACTAGATATAATACTATTATATATACTATAATATATATATATATACTTGCTTTTTTTCATTTATATTCTTTTGTTTTTTGACTGGATTTATTTTGACTGAATATTGACTCGATGAATACTTAAATATTGACTAGATATAATACTATTATATATACTATAATATATATATATATACTTGCTTTTTTTCATTTATATTCTTTTGTTTTTTGACTGGATTTATTTTGACTGAATATTGACTCGATGAATACTTAAATATTGACTAGATATAATACTATTATATATACTATAATATATATATATATACTTGCTTTTTTTCATTTATATTCTTTTGTTTTTTGACTGGATTTATTTTGACTGAATATTGACTCGATGAATACTTAAATATTGACTAGATATAATACTATTATATATACTATAATATATATATATATACTTGCTTTTTTTCATTTATATTCTTTTGTTTTTTGACTGGATTTATTTTGACTGAATATTGACTCGATGAATACTTAAATATTGACTAGATATAATACTATTATATATACTATAATATATATATATATACTTGCTTTTTTTCATTTATATTCTTTTGTTTTTTGACTGGATTTATTTTGACTGAATATTGACTCGATGAATACTTAAATATTGACTAGATATAATACTATTATATATACTATAATATATATATATATACTTGCTTTTTTTCATTTATATTCTTTTGTTTTTTGACTGGATTTATTTTGACTGAATATTGACTCGATGAATACTTAAATATTGACTAGATATAATACTATTATATATACTATAATATATATATATATACTTGCTTTTTTTCATTTATATTCTTTTGTTTTTTGACTGGATTTATTTTGACTGAATATTGACTCGATGAATACTTAAATATTGACTAGATATAATACTATTATATATACTATAATATATATATATATACTTGCTTTTTTTCATTTATATTCTTTTGTTTTTTGACTGGATTTATTTTGACTGAATATTGACTCGATGAATACTTAAATATTGACTAGATATAATACTATTATATATACTATAATATATATATATATACTTGCTTTTTTTCATTTATATTCTTTTGTTTTTTGACTGGATTTATTTTGACTGAATATTGACTCGATGAATACTTAAATATTGACTAGATATAATACTATTATATATACTATAATATATATATATATACTTGCTTTTTTTCATTTATATTCTTTTGTTTTTTGACTGGATTTATTTTGACTGAATATTGACTCGATGAATACTTAAATATTGACTAGATATAATACTATTATATATACTATAATATATATATATATACTTGCTTTTTTTCATTTATATTCTTTTGTTTTTTGACTGGATTTATTTTGACTGAATATTGACTCGATGAATACTTAAATATTGACTAGATATAATACTATTATATATACTATAATATATATATATATACTTGCTTTTTTTCATTTATATTCTTTTGTTTTTTGACTGGATTTATTTTGACTGAATATTGACTCGATGAATACTTAAATATTGACTAGATATAATACTATTATATATACTATAATATATATATATATACTTGCTTTTTTTCATTTATATTCTTTTGTTTTTTGACTGGATTTATTTTGACTGAATATTGACTCGATGAATACTTAAATATTGACTAGATATAATACTATTATATATACTATAATATATATATATATACTTGCTTTTTTTCATTTATATTCTTTTGTTTTTTGACTGGATTTATTTTGACTGAATATTGACTCGATGAATACTTAAATATTGACTAGATATAATACTATTATATATACTATAATATATATATATATACTTGCTTTTTTTCATTTATATTCTTTTGTTTTTTGACTGGATTTATTTTGACTGAATATTGACTCGATGAATACTTAAATATTGACTAGATATAATACTATTATATATACTATAATATATATATATATACTTGCTTTTTTTCATTTATATTCTTTTGTTTTTTGACTGGATTTATTTTGACTGAATATTGACTCGATGAATACTTAAATATTGACTAGATATAATACTATTATATATACTATAATATATATATATATACTTGCTTTTTTTCATTTATATTCTTTTGTTTTTTGACTGGATTTATTTTGACTGAATATTGACTCGATGAATACTTAAATATTGACTAGATATAATACTATTATATATACTATAATATATATATATATACTTGCTTTTTTTCATTTATATTCTTTTGTTTTTTGACTGGATTTATTTTGACTGAATATTGACTCAATTTGTACCTGAATATTTTACTTGAATGTTGACCCCACATATATCTGAATATTAACTCGATTCGTAGCTGAATATTGACTCAATATTTATTTTAATGTTGACTCGATATAATACTTAAATATTGACTCTTTATATACCTGAATATTGACTCGATTTATAGCTGAATATTGACTCAAAATATACGGAGAAACACCGACGAGAAATTAACGAATCATTGAATTACGGGGTGTCAGATCTATCCTTTGCGTCGTCTACGCTAAAACAAAGGGAGTAGAATTTATTTTTAATATCGTCCTATCTTTTTATAACGTTAATCACTACATAGCTGCAGGTACAAACAAAGATTTAAGGTCCCCTAATAGCACGATAACGTGCATACGTCCCTTTACCGTGCCTTAAGACATCTACGACTTAAATAGGATTAACGCAATATTCAAGGAAAGCCAAACACGAAGATAGTTTTGCAGATGTAGGATAAGCGCAGAGTTGGGAGCCGTTTCATAAATTCTAAATAATTGAACGAAATGGGTACGATGATATTTTAATAATACGTTCTCCATGATTTGCATTTTTAATTTTAATTTTTGTACGATGGTTCAGATAAATAGCAGAATTAATGTATCTCATTACGGATTATGAATTGTAGATTTTTGAATTGGAATTTTGCAATGTTAAAAGGAAATTGTTCCTAATTTTGTTTTCTACATTTGAAACTTCTCCCACCTCTTGTAGATAATATAACAATAAGTATCCGTCGTTCGACGAATTAAAGTCGTCGGACATTTTAAGTCCTTCAAACTCGGGGTTTGCAAATTTTTATGGAAACAGATCGATTTTACTTGGAAACGTAAAAAATAACCAAGTCGATAGACTGTGCGAATTCTACGAGGAATCATATTTTTCCGACAAATCGTGGTCCATTGTTTATAGAAAAATATATCGTTACGCAATCTGTAAATCGCTGCACCGTTGGAAAAAAAGAAATGACAAGCTCTGAGTACACGTTGCAATAGAAAATGACATTTCATTTGACTTGGAAATTAAGCGAAAGTTTTATCAGAGGAATTGACTATTTTTGCAACACATATTTTTGTGACGCAGATTTTTGTATTGCAAAGAGGTAAGAATTGAATGAAAATTTCTCATCGGCGTGAAATGCTTTAGCATATTGTTTAAACATTCGCTAAATGTCGTTAGGGACTTTAACTTTTTGTGTTTCACACGTTTATTGCGCACTAACTACAAAATTACTACAAACGGGTAAGAGTTAAGTACCGAAACATCGAAATTCTAAGATTCTTTGCTAGATTGTAAATTTTAAGGATCTAATTCAATGTACATCGATACATTACTGTACCTCACTATAACAAAAATTTAATAAATTTAATAATAAGTAAATTTATTCACGATCTCATCGAACCGTATCGGACTATATTAATTTTTGTTGAACTCCAACTGTTGCATGTTAATTCGAATGCGTCTATATTTTGTTAAACAAACTCCGCAGTCTACGAATTACAATTGAACAGAGATAATAGAATTAGGTGGTATTTTTAGATCGATCATTTTTAAGGGGAAAACTTTGCACCAGGCGATTTAAAAAAAAAAAGTAATTTTAGGTATGTACAGGGTGATTCGAATGAAGTATTATAAATTGTGTTATTTCTTTTTTAACCGCAATCCTGTTGACAGGGTGATTTTTAAATTCTAAACAGTTCTATAGACGTAAGATTAGAAAACTAAAATTGAGTCTTTTATCAACTCGAACTATCGATGGATTTAAAAAGAAATTGAAAAGTTATTTTATTCGACGAATTTCTTTTTCATTT